CTCCCACTCCCACTCCCACCCCCACTCCCACATTCACACGTGAAAAAGAAAATAAGTAGTGCATTCAATTATTTAGCAGTGGGCTCCATCATCATTTCTTTGTTTGCATTTGCTCGTCTTTGTCAGGCAATAAAATGTTACCGAGCCATTTCAGTTAATTTCTGAATCTGGTGGGAGCAAAACGTTGTCTCCACTGTACTGTACACAAATGGCAGTGATGTCAATGGGGACAGCACAGCACAGCAGGCCTGAAGAGAATATGGATAGTTATTCTTAAAATTTTATTTTTTTAGAAGTTAATTTTGGTATTAAAAAAAAAAGAGTTATTAATATTTTTATGTTTAAATAATGTTAATTTGTCCTGCAAGATGATAATTTGTTTTTCCATTTTTTAAAGTTCATTATGAATTTTATTTTATCTTCATCGATAAGTTTCATTACAAGAAAGTCATATTTTATTTTTCATCGGATGATTTTACAAATAAATAATGGTAAAACGTAAATACGTAATCTTTTTAATATCGTGTTAAACCGTCTATTAAAATTTCGAGTTATTAAAAGCGAAAATCTTTATTTATTTACATTTCTTACATTAAGAAAGAACATTTTGTATGTGAACAAATTAGTAGGTTTAATGTTAATGATTTCATGTTACATCTGACAGATCAAATCTTGTGATTAATAAGGGAAACACCCGCATTGTTATATATATAAATAAAATTTCAATTATTCAAAATTAACTATAACGAAATAATGTAAAGATCTCGCTTGAACGAAATAAAATGATCTATGGAGAAAAAGAAATTAAAAATTTTCATTTGTTAGAAGATTCTTTAATAGCAATTAGGGGCCAATTGGTCGTAGAAGAACTTCACGGTGAAGTTATTTTAAGTCAGTTTCGTTTCAAAATTCTTCTACCAAATAAAGTACTTTCATAAAATTATTCAAATATATTCAAAAGCAACTTATTAATTTTAGAATCAGCTCGTAACTTTTCAAAAACCCTACCAAACGACCCTTAATAATCTTTTAAACTTTGAAGTGATATTACGGACAAACAAGTATAAGAAAAAAGATTAAAATGAAAGCTTACCATATATAAATTACACAAACAACTTCAACAAACCTTTTTCCAATTAACGTCAGCATTCAGACATGAACTCAGTACCTTAACCATAGTACTAAAAGCAAAGGCAAATAAAAGCAAACAAAATAAATAAGAAAGGCAATTCACATGAGCTTGGGCAAACACCATACAAAGACAAAAAGTCAACAACCCTAAGAAATCCAAGTCATTTTCCCACTTTGGTCATGTTTTAACAATTACACAGTTCTTGGGGGGTGGGGGCTTGCAAATTATATCATGGTTGGTTGGCCTACGCTTACTTACTTATAATTAATTATGTTTTTGCTTTTGCTTAAATTCAAACCCTCAAACAGCTTAATTTTGTAACACTTTTTTGCTTCCTCAACTTGGAGGTTGACGCACTGCACAAGCAACCACTTGTGCCCATTGTCTCAACCTTGTCTTCACCGCCTGTGGATTTTCCCCTATGCCAAAATAGAAAATAAAAAAATTTACATAATTAAACATAACGTACCATAATTTTAACTCGTTTAAGAATACCAATCTTAATCAATGTAGAGCGGAGTTCTCCTAAAAAGAAAAACTAGGTCGGATGAATATCGGATCGATCTAACAGTTCTTTAAAGCCATACTGAATCATTCTTGTAGTACTATGTAATATAGAAGAAGATCGATCGTCGAGGTTATGGATCATATTTTTGTGAAAATATAAAGAAGAAAAAAGAAAGTGCTTTACCGGGGCCGAAAATGGTGTGGGGGCTTCCAAGTGGAGATGGAGTATCGCACTCGGAGGTGGCGGATGACAGTGGCAGCGGAGGCTTTGAAATAGTATCTTTGTATTGTTTGTTCACGGAATAATAAAGGCCATAAGCCGGAAAAGTATCGGACAGCCGCTGGTCCATTTTGGGAGAGTCAAATCCAAATCCCAGCTCTATGCATGCCTTCAGTTCATCTAAATCTTCGTCAGTGACACTCTTGCTCCGCCTTTTACGGCGATCCTTACGCCTCAGCCAAGCCTCGTCGCGGTAGGAGTCGGGGGACCAAGAATTCTGTTTGCAAAGAGAGGAAGCTACATGAGGCGGCCGTGGGGTGAAGGTTGGATGCTGTGATGGCAGAGTTGGTAGTGGTGGGGTAGTGGGGTCTGACATGGAGGTAGTGGTGGAGCACCGGGCGCCGCCCAACCCCTATGAGAGGCCGGCGGAGAGCTCTATTGCTCGAAGTTTTTGTTTTGTCAAATTGAATGCGCGTTGGCTGGGTGGGTGGATTATATTTTGTTTTTCTTATCTTGTTGGGCTTTGATTGGTGCGACCAGAATTGTGGGGCCTGCAAGCTAAGCATTGTTTGGCTACCGTCATCGTAACCTGTTATTTAATTTAATTTAATTAATTAATTTTGTGCAAAGATTTTAGAGAAAATAATTTCCTTTTCATCATATAGTATTAAAGAAGAAAAAGTAAAAATATAATATTTTATTTTCTCCCTTATCGTTTACCGATGTTCAACTTTCGATTTTTTTATATGTAAAATTTAATTATTCGCTAGTTGAAAATAAAAAAAAGTTCTTAAGAATAAAAAATTCAATAATTGAGGAATTTTTTTTTTTAATCAGATTTGTTGACATTCCAGCGCATCATCATTGAGTCAGCCATACTGAACTAGTTGAGAATCCACTATGATTATATTTCTGAAAAATCTTTCTTAAAAGCTCAATTTCCATAACTTATTGATGTAATCTAAATGCAATTGAGGGCCCAAATTTAGTTTCTTTTTTATTTATTTTTAATATCGACCGGCTGATTTTGACTTGAAATTTAACTTTTTAATCCGACATTTTATTAGACTCACAACTTCTATAAACATTTATCAAAATTTGTTAAAGCTTTTATAAAAAAAAATTTGTCAAACCAATTGTAAATTTTTCTTTGAAATTAAAAGCAAAAATGATGCCATTGGAATTGGTAAGTGGGTCCCATGCAAGAAAGAGTTGGTCAAACTACAACTGCTGAAAAATCAATTTCTTTCCTCCAAAAATTTTGGCCAGATAGGGCCTAAATTCTAATATCGAGTTTGAGAAGTTCATTAACTTGTAAATAAATTTTGGACACATCGAACTTTAATTAATATAGAATGACTTTTAACCTATTTTAGTATTTACAATCAATTATTTCTTCCACAATTATGAAAGAAAAATGAAAATATTTGTCCGTTGTACCATGCTGGATTTCATGTCGAACGTTTTATATATGGTTGGAGTAAAATTTAAAATTGTGGGTCAGCATTTAATTATTGTGCTACCACTAGTTTCTAAAGGTAACTTACTAAACATTTTGTCGTGCGTTTGAATAAGGAAACGAAGAGAGTGAAAACATATCAATAAAAAGGTAACTCATAGATTATAGTGCGTGGAAATGTCAATTTTCACCGACACGCAAATATAATTGAGAATAAAACATTGTTATAAATAGTTCAGTGGTGCAAAAAACAAGTGTGAAGTAGTCTCAACTGAGCTGACAGCCATAGTATGAGTGTTGGTGGCATGTCTTGCATGATGATTTGGCTTAAACCACATCGATCACAATTTTTTTTTTAACATTATTTTTATATGATTTTTCCGATAGAAATAATAGATAACTTTCGTGTGTATGGTAACGATACTACTTTTAATCCTATTGATGATGATCAAACAAATAGTTTGAAAAGAACTTTTATGATATCACAATTTAAACCTTAGGTTTCACTAAATATTGCATTTATTTAGCAAGAAAAGCGTGTTTTTTTCACCACTTTCACAGGGCAATTACCAAAAAAATAAATTAAAAAATGCATCATATAGAAATTTTACCAACTTGGCTGAATGTATATGAATACACATTTAGGGTTTGTTTGGCACATTTTTTTTAAAAATTATTTTTCTTCAACATTATTTTCAACCACATTCTACGGGACTCACAAATTTTTCTCATTTTTGAATCATACCTTCCCAAATAATCATTTTCACTAATAAGATATGTACCAAACAAAATATCCAATAAAATTTAAGTACATTTTGATAATATTGATGAAACATGTAGTTGAAAAATTGATAAAAACTGTTGGCGTCATGATATTTCTGTTTTGAGATTTGACCAATTGAAAATTCGATAAACTTTTAGCAAATTTTATCAAACAGACAAAAAGCGAATACCTTAATTTGTCTAATCTCAAACAGATAAAAAGATAGTTCAATAGGAGAGAATCCTTTACGGATCGCATGATAAAAAGATTATGCTTATAG